AAAATTCACCGATTGATTAACGGCGTACACATTAGCCGGGCTCAGATTCTTCGTTTTAAGTAGAGCGACCAGCGGAGGCCACACGATAGATCGAAGTGCGCAGGGGGAGGGAGGAGGGGGGGCTTTCTCCGGGGACAGCGAGGGCAGATTTTCCTTCTTCCCGAGTCAGCTCGCACAATTGTAGCATGAAGTTCCTCGGGGACTTTCCTTCCATCCTTCTTTCAGCATTCGTGCGCAGTTCACACATAGAAGGAGGACTACAAAGCGTCACGGGAAAAAGGGAGGAAGAGGAACCCTTTTGCCCATCCCCGTTTTAGAAACCTCCCTTCTCGCGGGCTTCTTTTCCTTCTCTACACCAGTGATTATCTATCTTCTCTCAAACAATTTCCTTCCTTCTTTAACTCGCTTCTTATCTCCGGATAACGGCGGAAGCAGGAAAACTCGCGAGAGAGGCGGTCGCGGGAAGGGCGTCTCGAGAACGCGGCAGTCTCGGAATTCCGCGCGCTCCTGAGCCATATTAAACTCGCTTAACGGGTGACCCAGTAACCCGCAAGATCGCGGGTTGCTTGCCTCGGAAAAACACGTTTTTGAGAATGGATCGTCATGTCGGGACGCTCGGTGCGAAAGGACCCGACGAAAAGACTCTGAAATCGACGATCGGCGCGAGCGAACGGCGATAACGTTTAGAGCCTTTCCGAAACTGTCGATTTTGAAGTTTAACACTGTACTCTGGCTTTCGAAACCTGCTGGCTCGAACATTTTTTTCTCCGATGCAGATCGAAACGCAAACGATGGCCTAACGAGGGAACTCGTTTTCGAAAAAGAAATTTTCTCGTGAGATTCGGTAGGTAATAATCTGCTGGCGAGACACTGGCTGAATATCGATTTTGAATAAACAGTACTAGATGTTAGTAACTCCCGCAAAAATAGCTCGTGACATTCTTCTTCGCGATCTGGCTGCGCGCTTGTAAATTCAATTTTCGACATAGTTGGTGTCGGGAAATCACTTTCCCGCCGAAGCTACGCGAGGTGGTCGACAAGATCGGGCGAAATACGAGGAATCCAGCTAATTCGCGAAATCCGCAAGCAATTTCGCGGACCTCAATAACACAAGAATGCAAAATAGAATTGAAACGACTAATCGATAATATTCTTCTGTTTATAGAAAGACTTCCTTTGAAAATTTCGCCTGCGCGTGTAGACGAAGTTAAACGACGGCGATTAAATTCCGATCGAATCGATAAAAAAAAATTAGCTCGCGAAGGCGGGCTATTTGATTCAAAATGTGACCTCACTAGTCGAATACTCGGCAAATATTTAATCTTCGTCCTTAATTCCCTCCAGGCATTTCCCGGTGCACGGTATCCATGTAAGGTATGCATGTAAGGTTATTATCGCTGACAGTATATTGGAGAGGAGAAGGTAGTATTATATGGCCTTTGTAGATATGACTTCTCTTAGTATCTCTACTATTAGGTAGCGAATTCTAGTGATTACTTAATCATTTATGGAGTATCATTACTGGAATCATTTATTTAGTAGCCCGTCGTTACATAGTGGCGCTATGCCAATACACAATAGTTAACATTCGTTATAACGCACTTTTTCTTCTGAGCATTTCGCAACGTTTTTCAAAGTACATTTTAGCATTTAATTATACGTACTTTTTCGCTCTTCCCAAACTCGAACGTATTATCAAACGAATATATGTACATTTGCATGTTTTACTCGTTATTTAACATTTTATTCGGCTTTACACGTTCCGAATTGTATAAAGTTAAACAATAGCATGGCATTTTGCTAATGTAATCCCCTAAAAATACTGATAATACGAACTCTTTTTCGAGGTTTTCACATCGAATTTTTGATGCATATATAATTTTGCGACCAAATACTGTGTTATTTTAAACAAATCCGATTTTTTAATCGATTTTAGTTGGGGGCCACTTTACCATCCCCTGTTATATATATATGTAACGTATTAAATAATAAATATTCCATAACTTCGGGTCTAAAATCGACGGAACAACACTTTGACGAGTGTAATCGTTCAGATTTTAATTTGAAATAGCAATTGTTGGCAAAATTATCGTGCGAAATTTAAGTGAAGTGCCATGACGCCTTTTCCTCTTCAACATTTACTACTAAAAATGATTCTCCTAACTAGAATCCTTTCGCCATGATGATTATAGTCACAAGCATCATATATTTTTTTCTCAGCGCGCTTTCGCCCAACAGGCCAACGAGACGCTCAACGAATGTATATTTCATTATCCAAGAACCACCGCGGTCAGTCTGTACTGCAAGCCATAATCCCTGTAAGCTCGGTAAGCCGGTCGACTGAGATTTTCACGCGGACGCAGATATAAAGGTGGTTTGCCGTGGATTTTGTCGTGGCAAATTTTCAGGTAACGCGTCGTACCCGCTGCCGCCTCGCAGGCCGAACGAGTGAGCCGGCATGACCGCGTTTACAATACTTCATAAATATGGACTAGACAAGCGAAAGTTCAAAGCTTATCGGATTTGGGCTTAAAAGCGAGCGTTCACGGCTACAGAAGCGGCATTAGCGGCAGCGTACGTGCACATCTTCGGCGATTGGATTGCATTAATCAGCTTATTAATCAACCTGAGCGCGCGGGGCAACCGGTTAAGGGTTGATTTGGTGCGCGCGTCCGCGGATTCGCGGAATAATACGTCTTGTGCGGATTTGGCGAACTGCGAAGATCGTTAATGCAACTTGCATGCGTCGTGCGGCGCAGCGAAAAGTTCTAAGGCAACGGGCTCGGTGTGCGGGGGCCGATGATTTATACGTGCGTGAATTATTCATGACAACTCGCTGAATTTGATTCCGCGACTTGCCGCAAGCTGTATCGATGATAATAATAATGAACGGGTTGATGTGTACTTTTTAAATGAGATCCCGGCTGAAGTGGCTTCAAGTGACTCGTCACTGAGGACGTCACGAGTGCGTTCAGACCTTCTAGTCGAATGGAACGAATTCTATCGCACATTCGTAACCTTTGTACTTTTCGCGGTTGTTCGGCGTATTAAAGCGAATACTGCGTTTCTTCCCTCCGTGAAAAGCGAGAGAGAGAACATTTTTGAGAATGTTTTATGCGAGTCGTATAGAATTCATTTCGCACGCGCGCTTACACACACACGCGCGCGTACGCGTGCGCGCGCGTAATACCTCTCTTTCGCTAACGTTATGAAATGTTAACATTATAAAATCTACAGTTTCACATCATACTGCTTTAATCACGCAAATATTTTATTGCAAAAATTCCATTTATTTTATCTTCCATTTGTAATATACCTCGTTCGATGGTTTAATTGTTGAAGTGGTAACATTTTAAAAGTGACTTTCTACGCTTTAATTAACAAAATAATGCTAATGTCTAAGAGCGGATAGAGCACGACGCGAAGCGCGAAAGCGATCTCAACGAGTCTCGATTACCTTGACACAGTGACACAAATGTAAGTAACGATAGTGATGTTCAGCTTTTGGCTGACCCACTTTCTCCGGTGATCAACACTAAATCATCGTTTCGCTACCACACATTTTGCCCGCTGTTTGAAATTCAAACGAGAATGATGGGGACATTTGTGCATTTTAACGATACGTAACGTCCGCGTTAGTCATGAAATCGTGGTCGATGCCAATCGCGATGATGTACACTTTGAGGAATTTTGCGTGCACACCACCTTCGTCGTTGGGAAGAACCCGATTGAAAGATGTCGAAGCGTCACGTCGAAGATTCATCTCCAGTGCATCTCCCTGTGATTTATTTTTGCTTTCGTAAGAAAGGTGAAAGGGGAACATCAGCGCTTGAATATGCGTGCTCGACGATCCCCTTTGTTTTCCCCTTGGTTTCAAGATGAAACCTCATGTGCCACTAATTGCTCCCATTGTCACAGCTAAGAGACGGAGAAACAAAGGGAGAAAAGTAAAAATGCGACAAACTGCCATTTCGCGTTCTTGCTTAACATCACCGTGTCGCGAAACCCACCGATCGATTCCACCTGCGCGCATTTTCATTGTTCAAATAAACCAAATATAGTGCTCGTTCAGAAAAAGGAATACCGAAGAATTTTTATATATCTCGTAATTATTTTACATAGTATGTGCATCTCTAAAAATATTATCATGACGTTGTCGACGAAAGTATCCTCGCGTTAGAAGTTGTATATCGAATGATTCTATTTTTGAAATTTCTTGAAATAAAATTGCCCCCGAAGAGCAGAGTGACAACCGAGCTACTCGGATTCGAATTATTTTTTACTCGTATAGAGTGAATATTTTCATTCAAAATTGAAAAGTTGTATTTGATGTACTTCACCGTCACAGAAATGCTCGTTCCAATATTCGCTCCTATCGATTGAAACATTCGCTCATATGGAGAATCAGAACCCATTGTACGCGGTAAAAAAAATTTTGTATTAAATTTAACACATTTCACACGTTCCAAACGGTCCATGCACTTTTTTAACTCAACACAAGATGAATATGTTGAAAAGTAACAAAAAAATTGACTCAAAATGAATACATTGATCAACACTGAAGTATAAAATGTGTTTTAACACTTTTAATATTTACACAATTTTAACACTTACATTTGTTGAATATTGATTCAGCGCAACATATTGAAATAACGCGATATATATTAAATTAATACACGGTTGTTGTTAGAAATTTAACGCAAAAACTTTAACAAGGATCGATTTTAAAGCAAGTACAAAATGTTTCGTACTGCGTAAGCTCGGATGAAATATTCACTCTTGCGACTTCTTGCGAGTGGCATTATTTTCATTTCAACGTTACACTTTCCGTATTTTCACTTCGAGTGAAAATATTGCTACTTTTCAGTCGTTTTGAATTAAGATTCCACTTCGAGAAATTTCTAGAGTAGTCAAGGATAAGCGTGTTTCAAACGACGTTAGAATTTTTTCTCGAATGTGACCCGACGACCGTCCTCACAGATTCATTTCACATGTTTCAGGCTCCGCCGTCTCATAGAATTTGTCGGATTCAGCATTCGGAAGGATGGGCTGGGTTCTCCCCGTTCTCGGAGTGGCTTTGGTCATCGTCATCGCTGTCGGCGCCACTCTCGCCATTTGCAGAAGGTGAGATCGCGATATTGTCTCGTTGTTACAGATGCTTCTTCTTCATTATTATTATTACCGCCTCACTGATTTTTTTCGATAATATCCGCCTCCTTCCCCAATCGATGGGATAAGAATACAATGGTGCACTCTTTTTGGAGGCTGATGAACGTTCTAATGCGTGCAACAGGTGAAAGCATCATTCAGCGAGCAATTATTACACCAGTAATTTGGTGCCTGTTCTTGCGCGAGCACAAGTTTAATCCATTCCTCCCCGAAAGAATAAATCTGGACTTATCTTGCTTGAGTGCGATATTACGAGGATTGCGGGTGAAATGGCGACTTCCAAGTAATCCCGGCCGTTGTCGTGCGAACATGTGGCATAGTAAATCAATTAATCTATATAACCGAGGTGCAATAAATGTAGTTTGAAATTACGCGGTGGAATTATTTTCTAACAAATAAAAAAAGTATAGAGTACGTTAAAAATATTTCAATTTGATCGTTAAGTCGACGTTGACAAGAATCGATAAACGAGAAATAATTCGCGTGCGAAATACGGCGAGCGAATGAGTGTTTCTACAGGAAAGTGGTGCTCTTGAATCCACATGTATTTTCGTTATTTTATTTTATCGAGTTGTTTTAATTAATCCAATTAGCGCGATAAACTGAACTAAGCCAACAGATCGAGCAATCGGTACGATATGCCGCGCTTACTTTCATCGGTTCTCTAGCGCACAGAAAAAAAACATTTTTATTTGAAGTCAATCCGTATTCTCAATTTGCACATATCGAAATGATATTATATAACATTGAACGGATAAAACTTGTTTACATGAAGAAATTGCTCATAGTTCCACTAAAAATATAATATAATATTCTCGTTATTCAAGGATAATTTTTTTGAATCGAGAGTAAAGAATATCGGAGAGAAAAGAACGATATGTATTTCCAAAACAAGATTTACAATTTCTTTAACTTGAAATTACATTATTTTTATTTGAATATATTTTACTCTTAGAAAAAAGGCAGTTTATATTATTAAATTGATTTTTTTTTTAAGTTCTTGTAACAACAATTTTTTGTCTTATTTCAAAATTGAGGCAATAACATCATATAAGAGGACGAAAGAGAATATATCGATGTAAGAGCCTAGGTAGCTCAGTAGTAAAAGCAGACGCCCGGCAAACGGAAGATCCCGGGTTTTCGAGTCCTGGTCCAGTAACTCCGGCTTTCAGATTTTCTCTCCGACTCTTATAATAACTAATTCTTTATTATATTTAAGATCATCTTAAGTTTACCTTCAGACACTATACAGATCGCTTCACTGGCTACAAAGCATCTGAGGATGAATCTAACCTAAAACGGTCTTAAGTATATTTTGAAATGAAAACGTTCATATCGTTGGAAGAAGATTAACATACATTTGACTCAAATATAGAATTATTCAAAATCATATATTCATTTCTTTTTATATGATTTTTTAAAACTCCTCAGAAGATTTATTATTTTCGGAATAACCATATTGTGTTCTTTAGTGGACTATAGTAATATTGCACTAAAATTACAATATCATTGAAATTCAAGATTATTAAATTTTTGTGTGCAAATTTAGAATGCTCGTGAATGTCTTGAATTGATATTTAATTCTTTTCCGTGCGATTTTAATTACTTCGTCCCATCTTTTGCTCCATCCTCGTGGCCGTTATTTCCGCATTGCGTTTTCCCCGAAACGAGTTTCTTAACGTCGTGACTTGTGGCGCAGATATAATTAGCTTAGCTCCAGTTGTCTCGTCAATCCCACAGATATTGCATCGGATGGCAGTTTGGCACCAGGAATGTCTGGAGCGTTTGCGAGGAATGGAGACAGAGGCTTTCCTGGCTTTGGGCACCGCGGGAAGAAAAGGTAATCTATGTATCTTCACAAGCGCGACTCCGATATATTTTATCGAAAATATTAGAATTTCATATGAAAAGATTTAGAAATGTTATCATTAAAAATTTCACCACTAACTTTATTGTTAATATTTCGGCGCTTAAGCTCGCAGTTACATATTATTACAGGCATGGTAGCGACTCACTTTACTACATTTTCCTCACTACTTTTGGCAGTTAAACCGCTCCCATGTCTGTTATAATAATTACGTTTATATTACTTAAAAGCAGATTGCTAATTGCAAAATTGTTTGAGATCGCGACCTTAAATAGTAGTGCTCGGTGTTCGATTTTGAAACTTTGGGATTTACTTCCGCAGCCTCGTGCGGTGACTTTATCTCCCGATTTGTTTCTAATCGTACGACACCGTTTGAAGGTGGGATTGGTAAAGGCTCAGCATCCAACCGCCCAGACAATACCAGGCCTATATCGCCAGGCTGGGAATACCTCTCAACATCTCTTGCATAGCGACAGCGACCTCCGGCTAGATGCGCAAGGCGCTTTCACCAGGTATGCGTGCGACGAAGCGAATAATTAAGTTTGCACTATTTTACAAAATTCGTATGAAGATCGAGGAATACTCGGAAGAAACTCGGTGAATACAAAGAGCATGACTTTCGAGAGAACGAGGTAAAGCGAGACGTCTGCGAGACGTAAAGGACGACGTTTAAATAAGTTCTCGAAGGAATAAGTTCTCCCCTTCGATTAAAATTAACTCGAAATGCTTCCCCTCGGATGTTGTGTTGATACTGAGTGTTACGATGAAATTCACTCGCGCGTAGCGGAAAATGCTAGAGAATCCGCACTACTAGAAACTGCAATAAAGTGTTTTTACGCGAACGCATCCGGGGGCGCAATTTAATCAACTGCATTCGTGTACATATCCGATGAAATTATTAAGTTAAATTATATTCCATGCCAGCTCGTTTGCAAACTTTTGCGGAAAGGTAAAAAATTAAAGCACCAAGCATGCTAATTTGTCTGTAAAACTAGTTACGTCTCAAAGTTGCGTCGATCCAGGATAAAAAAAACAACTAGATCACTCGACTTGCATCGATAAGATCGAGACTTTCTCCTCGAAAGACTTGCATGCCGTAAGGGGAATTGCAGGGATTATACAAATGATTCAGTTGTCATTTTTAATAGCTGTGTTTCCTCTATAGATTGAACTAAGTGAAAAAGAAATCGGTAAGGATTAACGAAATAGCGGCAAAAGAACGTCAAGGATATCGCAGAAATAAAGTGCTTCTTTATCGCGATAGAAATTAAATGAATAATATTTTCTAAATAGAATCTTTCGCAAGTTCTGTAAAGAAATTTACTACTTTTTAATTAAAAAGAAATATTTCGATACACATCTGTTCATTCTTGAGTTATGCCTGCAAAACTACAAGGCGCAGATGGATCAGTCCGCAGCAGCTCCATATGTCATATTTTTCTAATTCGTTAAATATCTTTTTATCGTTAATACATAATATAGAGATACCCACAAGAGGTTTTCGTATTCAATTAATTTCTACGTAATGAGTCCAATTTTATCGACTTTTCACAAGTTCGTACCTTTCTATCATCCTTAAATAAAAGTTAACTTGGTTCAACCAACCAGAGTACTCTAGTACTCTAGTACTCTCTCTCTCTCTCTCTCGTGTTTCTATTTTGACTGTACACACATATAATTTTTTATAGTTATATTATACCATACTATTATACAGATTCGAGGCTGTCGACAGGGACTTACATCCGCCCCTCGGCGGCAGCACGATACCACCTCAGCCGCTACGACCCGCTCCTCAACCACGGCCGACCGCGCGTCCGCGACCGTCTCCTCTGCATACACCGAGCACCGCAGACTATCTCAGGATGCAAGAGGCTGGTCCAGGTCCGCTGACGCCGCCGCCGCCTTCGTTGCAGAGAGGACCGATGCGGTCGAGGCCCCCCGGTCCGTCCGTGTTTCTCTTCCAAAGCGAGCCGCCAAAGAATCACGGCCCGTTTCAATCGTCAATCGAGCGCACCGCCTTCGTGTTCGGCGACGACACCGCGAAGACGATAGCGGAGAGCATTCAGATGACACCTTACGCCAGTCAGAACCACGTAGAATCCAGATCCATCAGGTGCGTTTCGTGAGATGCCAACGAAAGAGGAAATTTGCGTCAAAGTGACTAGACACTTGAATAATACAGAAAGAAAGAAATAATACGGAAAAAAAGAAAAATAATACAGCGGGTTGACTAAGACTCACGTTTATATTTCGGTGCTGGAGGAGATTCATTTTCCAGGGAAAATATAGAAAAATGAGTACACTTGTTTAAGCATATTCTCTCGAGAGCGGTTTGACCTGATTTGTCGTCGATTCACGCTGATTTTACAGACAATTCGAGCCCTCCCCGGACCCGGTGCGGTTTAGGTACGGTATGAAACCTCCCGTAGACAATCACCACGACAACTTGGACAGCGAGGATATCGATAGGAGTTACAGTAGCTACGACATCATCCAGAGGAATCATATCGCGCGGCCGTACGCGAGGAACGAGCCCATAGGATTAACGAGCGGCTTCGGCGCCGTCAATCCGTCGAACACAACGAGCCAGGTGATCATGGAGTCGATTTACGGGCCTCAGACCGTCTCGCAGATGCTTCAGAACAGCAACGGGCTGAACGGCGACCTGAATCGTAAGAACAGCGAGATGCAGAACATCGAGATGACTCCGTTCAAGAGCAGCGGCCATCAGGAGCAGGGCATTGATCCCTACATGTTTCACGCCGGCATGTCGAAGGCGCAAGATCTCGAGAGAGTGTCGCAGTATATACAGAGTCTGCCCGACCTGCTCGACTACGAGTCCGTGAACGAGCTCGAGGCGCAGAATCGCGAGCCGATATTGTACGCTAACGCCATTCAGGAGTCGATCGGCGACCGCACAAAAGTCGACCGCGCGAGCGAGTCGGCCTCGAGCCCGGTGCCACCGCCGCCGCCTGCACCACCGGATCCGTCTCAGATCACGAAGAAGAGCAGCCCGACCACCGGCGAGAAGATCTTCAGCGCCCTGAGATCGGTCACCTCGCAGAGCTACATAGACGCCTCAGAGTTTTATAAGTAAGATCTCGTCATAAGCAAGCTCCACTTCTGTCCTTTTTTCCTCTTCCTGCCATTTTACATACAAATGTTTTGCTCGCATGGATATTTTTACCTCGTCGTCGGTTCATCACGGGATATATTTCTTCATTTGTGCAGTTCGGTGCTCTCCTCGACACAGCAAGTGCAGCGCTTCACGTTCCCGCCGGCGCCACCCTCGTTTGCAAACGACAGTGCCGGGAATCACTTGCAGGATGCCGAATACCTGCAAGATATGAGAGATATTTACGCGGAAACTGACACAGACGCCGTCGGTCTGGACGTCTCCAGGCGGAGTTCCGATCTTTATAGTCCGGAACTAAACCTGGAAGCACACAGGACGGCGCAAGAAGTACTACTTTACATTGTTTACTTTTCTGTTTTGATATTTGGATAATGGCACAGTTAAAAGAAATTGTCGAAGGTATATCAAGTTTAATATCGTTATTGACTATAGTAATCGTGCGCGTTATAAGCGGACAGGGATAAATCAGATATAGATTTAATACAAGGAATTGATTTAAGAACTCTATGAATCTATAATTTGTCTTAGTTTTTCACGTTAATAATTTCAAATCCTCTGATCTCTCCCGATTTTCTCAGTATTATCTCTTCTATTCTGATATTTTTATTTGCCGCAGGTATACAATAGCCTGCAGGATCCGCCGTCGTCTCCCTTGTTAGTGAAAGAGAACAATCACGAGTCTTACACTTACCTGACGGACCCGAGTTTCACTCGCACGTCGGAGGTACGTGAAATTTTCTTCCGAAGAGCTCCCACTTCATTTTCATTTCTGTTCGCAATTTGTTCGCAAAGTTACTCATACTGTCAGATTGTAAGAAATATTTGGCAAAACAACGAAAATGACCTATGTCGCAGTTTCTTAATTGACTGATCATACTCCAGGACATTTTCAACAGCCTGGAACAAAGGCGCAAAAGTATAGAAAGACTGAACGGTATTCACGAATACGTAGAACCAGACACCGCCGATCCATCGAGGTAAGAGTTAAGTTACGTAGTCGAGTATTATTAAGTGTTAATCTTGCCTATGTGCACTATTGTTTTAACATGTACCGATGTGTATCGATCATTCAACATGCATTCTCGTTATTACCTCCCGTTATCTATTCATCTTTTTCGACAAAAATCGAAATATATCACTTGCTCAAATTCATTCTTCCCAGAAGACGAAGCAGTCAGGAACTCTACGCCCTCTTGGAGGAAGTGCAACAGAAGAGACGGCTCTCACAGGCAATGACATATATTCTTTCTTCGTAAAAAGAAAACACGATACTCATCAACGTGCGCGATCAGATAATCTGAAGGAGTGCGTGTACCGATTTTCAGAGTTTGGAGGAGTCGTATCTGGGTTACGTGATAAACGATCACAATAGCAGATCGGGGAATCGTCGGGGGTCGTTGGTTCCTGAGCCGGAGCCACCGCCTGACGAGTCCACCTTGAAGAGAGCGATCAGTTGCGAGAGCGTGTGCTCCGACACCAGCGTCAACCTGAACGACCTGGAGGAGTCACCTATCGTTGGGCACATCTGCGTCGGCCTCGAACACGAGAGATGGGGTGGTCGCGGGAGCGACAGCGAGGGCGACTTGGCCGTGAGCGTCTTGGAAGCCAGAGACCTCATTGCTGCCGATGGTTCTCCCGCGCAAGACACTTTTGTTAGGTGCGTGTCCCTTACTCACTGCAGTATCAGTATGCCGTTGTGTGTTAAAAATAGCGGAACATCGTTAAAAAGTCCGTCAATGCTAACTTTTACATACATATAAGGGGAAATTAGGCTGTGAGTTAAGAAGTTTTTCTCACCAGTTGACAATGAACTTTATGTACGAAAATATCGAGACTGTTTTTCCCTCGTAGGGTATGTCTGCTACCGGACAGACAGACACACGTGCAAACGAGAATCTACAGAGGATGCCCATCGCCTAGTTATCAGGAGAAATTCCTATTCCCTCTCGACGGTGGCCCGGCAGGCAGAACGCTCTTCGTCGAGGTGCTTGTCACTTGTCATTTTCCGCCGAGTCGTTTCTTTCAATTCAATGCAAACGTCTAAAGATTAATCCCATACGTATTCCGTCGCGAGCGAACTCGAACGTGCGAATATCGAATATTCTCCCTTCATTGCTCAGTTATTCTCTAACGAGTCCAGCAACGACGAATGCGCGTCCTTAATCGGCGAAGCCAGTTTGAAGCTCGGGCCCGCGGCGAGGCCGCCGGCTACGACTTGGCTGCCACTCACTGGACCTGCCTTACCCATTCCACATCTAGGGGAGCTGATGTTCTCTCTCAGTTACTTGCCGACGGCGGAGAGGCTCACTCTCGTAGTAGTCAAGGCCCGCAACTTGCGCGGCGCGAATTCTAGTCCGGGTGATTTCTTCGTTAAGGTAACTTCGAGACACTTCCCTCCCGCTCGAGAACTTCGATCGATCAAGTAGTTAGTTAAGAAAAACAAAGAAGGAAAAAGATCTCAACTGCTCTTCTCGCTAAGGTATACTTGCTGCAACAAGGGAAGAAGATGCACAAAAAGAAGACTTCCGTGAAGAAAGGCGAGAAGAGTCCGATCTTCAATGAGGCGATAATATTCAGCGTGCCGGCGCACAGTCTACAGGTTTTCTTACAAGTTTCTATTTTCCTATAATGACGAAAATCATCACGGAAGTATGGAGTGTCGGCTCGAGGAGCTCGCGACGTTTCTGCACACTGCGTCTTCGCGCGTGCCTTATTATTCCTTGGATATTCCGAGAATTTTAACAATCAATGAGCAGCTGTAAAATTAATGTGATACGCAATCTTCCTCTTCAGTCTTTCTTTTCTCATGATCTCGTCACGTGAATTTTCGCGACTATTTATCGAGATCGTTCACGAGTGTCATTTTTTACGTCCTTTTACTTCAACGTATTTCGCGAGAATTTTCGGCATACATTCTCCCGCTTCCGACATCATTAATCAAGATGGCTGTGCCGAGGAAACAGAAACCTGAATTAAACTTTCAGATCGGTTGAATCGCACTTGACCCAGCCGCTTGACAGTCGCATATTCTCATGTCGTTTCATCCATGAATATCACACTTTTCCACTTTAAACGTTAAACTAAAAATACCAATGCCTGGGCACTACCTAACTCCGGATATTTTTGTCGTTTTGCTCTTTATATTTATGAATATTTAAACCCTTAACGTAGAATTCATTCATATATTGAATATATATACATATATATTTTATGTGCTTCAAGTATAAATATTCGTATTTAAAGGCCAGATCGAACAGAAATGGATTCAGAGTTACCGTACGTACATCGGTGGCCTTAAATTCCCATTTCTCTCTTCCTCGTGAAAATGATGCGTGAATCGTTGTTACGGGACATGCTCTTTTTTACAGACCGTACAGGTGAGATTGACGGTGGCGGAGTTGAACGGCGACCAAGGAGGTGCGAGTGTGAAAGCATACTCTGTCGGACACATCATCGTAGGATCTACCTCGATGGGAAGAGCCTTAGCTCACTGGAGACAAATGTTAGCGGCCTTGCGGCGTCCGGTTGCCATGTGGCATCCTCTCAGGAAGTAGAAGCGGCAGCCGCGCTCCGGCACGACCCGGGGACAAATGACCAGCCGAGCACTTTGCTCGCATGGTTCGACTGCACACGTGCCCGAGGGCAGTCTCGGGGGCATCACTTTTCAGCCGATCATTGAGAATTTTGTGTCACGCCCGCGGCGTATTCTTCGGTGTATTTGTCGTCGGGAAGAGTACGCGTTATGTTATGTATAATCCACACGTTAAGCATTAAGGGTAAGTCTCTCTCGCGGAGATAAGCGTTTTATCTAATATCAATCTAATATTAACGATCGTCCGGACCACCGTGCGGCGCTGTTGACATTCAGGCATGGAGGCATTCAGGAAGTGACTCGAGATCGCACAGCTAAATCGCACAGTATCGATCATTAATGATCCCGATCATCGACATGCAGTACCGAGCACGGAGTATACGGCGAAATATCTTCGATCCTTCCGTGTTGACGGGACTAGAAAGAGAGAAATCAATGTACGGACGCGGATGTTTCTTTCAAATAGTTTTTCGTTGGTTGAATCTTGTCTAACGAAAAGGGGGTATTGTGTTCCGGCAAGTTGGGAACATCCTTGCGATCGAAAGTGTGTAATGTTGTATATAAACGTTACGTAAAATTGAAATGATTATATATCTATAATAACCCAGTGGAAACCAACTGACATTTATATAACATTATATCAATGTTATAATTTCTTATTCAACAATGTAAATGTGTGCAATTATGTATGATTAAATATATTAGATATAATTATCTGATTGCTATTGTACAATTTTTTTCTCTATACATGCAAGAAGGTCTCAGCCGGTCTCTGTCTTTGAGTCTCAACGTAGAAGAAATGGCCGGAAGTTTTTTATAGCATCAAAAATGCACAATAGTAATCAGACAATTATATATAGTTATATCTAATCGTACATAATTATGTATGATTAGTATTGAATAATTGCAAATTTCATACATAATTTAGCATAATTATGTACACCTGTATACATATATTTATACATGATTATGCATGAAACGTTTTTTAACGGCACTTTATGTCGATGATCCCGATAATTCTGATTCGTCGATACTATCGGTCGACGGTCGTCATCATTCAAGCACACGAATAGGCTCTAAAAAGTCAACCCGCGTCATCGTTCACGTAACCGTGAGTCTCGAGCGAAAGCTCGAGCGAAGCTTTCGCGTTCGGGTCGTCGGCACGACGAATTCGCGCCATTGCCCCCCTCCCCGCGGCAATGAGATCTTCCCCGTAAACATGTCCATCCACCTGGAAATATTTAACGCGTGGTTGAGACGTGCAACGCGAAAGTTTACAGCGATGTGTTCCGTACATTGTTACATATCTCTCCCTGAGCAATTAAGTATTTCGAGCAATTAATTTGTCTTGGGTCTCTCCTTTGAGGGTACTTCAACTTTGTAACTTTCTCCCTTAGGAATCGGACGTGTTCTCTTTCATCTTTTATTGCGCGCGTTTCATCGTCATGATTTAAACAAGCGTGCGAAATAAGCAAAAAGAGATGTTGAACTTCGTGTCCTCGCCTTTATCAGGCCCAAGACAATGCAAAAGGGAGAGAAAGGGAGGAGAAGGAGGAGTATTATTAACGAAAGCGACAGTGGAAGTGAAAGTAAGAACGAACGCGGGAATATAGTGAAGTTTTCCCGCGAAAGTTCCGCGATTCGCCGTGTAACTGTTAAAGATTAATGCATCTTCCATCGACATCATTTACGAGCAGCCACCTCGTCGCACTCACGTCGCGTCATCGTTCGTTTGGTGATTATTAATAACAGCGAAGTTTCGGCGAGCGAAAAGCAGCCCGACGCGAAAACGAGGGGGAGGAGAAGGGGACTTCGGAACTGTGTGATTTCTAACTCTATCGGAATTCTCCGCGAGATGTGTGTAACGTTGTTGTATGCGCTGTGGACATGTTGACACTTTTACAGAGTTTATCACTGACGTTATCGCACGACCGTACCGACCAGTTTTTCATTCGCGGAGGCGGAAACGTGTGTACGCAACGATCGCGTCCGAATCAAGCCCAAGTTAATTTCTGACATCCTCGTCCCTCTTAAATTGACGTCGTATGGACTGAGTTCGCGATATATTCATCGATTACACGTTTAATGATCAGTAAAATTCCACAATTTTCGGATTTACAATTGCTCGACTATTTGTCACTGCAAAATTCTTCGTCGCCATTCGTACGCGAAACAAGGGAAAAGTTACTCTTTTATAGATTTTTACAGGCGCAGCTCGAACTTTTTTTCATCTCTTCGAGAGCTAGTTCTTTTCTTGTACGGAATCTCGAGCACAAAATAAGTATTTACAGTTTTTCCGAATCGGTATTTTCTTACTAATAGACTATCTCTTCTTTATTTAGCGTAAGTTTAATCTACAATGCAATAGTTAATTACATAAAAAGCATATATACATGAGCACGGCTTTGCATTCACTTTTAAATATAATAAATTAATTCAATATTAATTGATTTAGCTTTAGTTTAGGCAACTTAACCAAATTAATTTTCTAGGCCGTTAACTTTTAACTTGTAACTTGAACATAAAAATAACTTACCCTGGATATACTAATTCGATTCGGTCGATCCATCGCGACCCATTCTTCGTTTAACGGCGAGATAATAACGTGCGGCGAAGAGTCGATTTTAAACCGGTCTTTAAAAGCATTCGATTCGTATCGGAGCCATTTTGAGACTGACAGCTCGCGATAGACCGATAATTCTATCGCATTCGTAAAGAATAGAAGACACCACGATCTTACGTAATCGCCATCGTTCCCCGATACAAGACACAAGAATCGTTACGCGTTGATTTTTTCGGGCGGTGTCTCGCCTTTCGAAAACCAAGGGTCACAAGTTTTGACTATCATTAGAGTTTAAATCTTAGATTAGACTTAAGAAGGAAGGAATCGTGAGTTAGAATGTAAGGGGAAAGCCCGGGCCGTTTCCGTGATAATTATCCCGTGAAGAGTCGCTGCTGTACAAACGTGACCCGGCATAGCGACGTGCGTGCCTACTCCTTCGCGATTTCCGAGGATCTGTTAAAGGATAAAATGATCTTTCGCATTTGTGTTGCTTTTCAACAGGTTGCTCGTTGCGGAGTTTGAGCGCGCGTTTTTGTCGATATTCCAAACGAGTCGGACACTGTCCTCTCCGTAGGAAATGGGCGAATCAAAAAAGAAAACCCGGAAGCAATATCGATAATTATTTATTCGGTGAGGCTGAATTTCTCGCCACCGAATGGAATCCCTTCTAACGCGCCTGTCCGTTCCCTTTGTTGCGTAGTGCGTGCGCGCGCGCGCGATCGGGGCCATCAGCGTATGAGATCACCGGATCACCACGGTTCCGACCACCTGTCGATCGATCCCGAGATCGGTTCGATCGAGGACGCTCGGTCACTACCAAAAGAAATAAAAAATAAAAAGAAAGGAAACAAGGAGGAAGAGTAAAAAAAAACAAACAAACGATCGTTAAGACTCGCACGAATTAGACACAGCCTTTTGGACCTCAACGCCTATTCTATATCTATTCTATATCTATATAACTTTTGTACCTCTTCATACACATACATAAAAGCTCGCAAGTCTAGTCTTTTTGTACACGCATACGTGTGCATACGCGCGTGCACAAGCACGTGTATACGTGTATACATATGTTACGAGCAAAATTCTACGATCTACACACTGTATAACTCTTCACGTCTCACATCATGCATGAAAACCAAGTGTATCCCCCCCTCCCCCCCCCCCCACTTCATACTTATAAACTTACGCAGGTTTTTCTATCGCTAATTACTAATGGGACTAAAATATCGCTCACTTTCTCATTAACTTCACGAATCTAACCATAAGGAGTCCTTTGCGAAATGATTACTTATCTCCTCACTTTAATATATACATACATATATGCGCGGAATGTGCCATTTTTACTCCGAATAAGCAGGTCGATTAATTCATGAACTGTGTGACAAGTACTGACAGGAGAAGATACTCTGAATAAGAAGAGTTTTGAGGGAGTAGCTTGGTTGTGCCTGTTAAATTAAAAAAAGAATACGACTTAAACCAGGTTCTTCTCTCTCACGAGCAATTTCGCTACTTTTAATCGTAGCATTTCTTCTCACATCATTTAATTCGAAAGTGATCCAACCGTTCGAATTGCAAAATGGAACATTCTGCGTGCGTGCGTGCGTGTTATGCGTGTGTGGTTTACCAAGGTATTTCTTAATTGATGCTCATTAATCACACAGCGTTTGTTTTTCCTATTGAAAGTCTACAGGTCCTGAGTAATTTCTTTTTTTGTGTTGCTTAATGAAACGGTAATATACACACAAGCACGCGCGCGCGCACACATATATGTACACACACATGCACACACGTACACATACGTGCATATACATATACATATACGTGGTGGCCCGTGAGAATAGCTTTGATAGGCAAAATTAAGTTGTATATTTTGCAGAAAGCACAGTGACGAGTAACTTTTAATAATGGTTTCTCGAGTAAATGATTAGGAAAAATTACGCTACGCAATACGATAAGCATATAGATATTACGACTCGTTGTTTGAATCTGCAATTTTGTAGAAAGTCTTTTGTGCCAACATTCTGTTACTGTTTCCGATATCGAATCTTTTTTTTGTTTTAATTGGCTAATCTATCAATGCAAACAGGATTTTTTTATTATCAACAACTTGTTACATTTGCAATTGCGCTTTTGCCGCATGTCCCTCGGGTAGTTCTGTCGAGGGTCAATTCGTTCGGGATAATTTCATTCGGCTTAAACTTGCGCGCGATGTAGATATTCTAATTTAACGGGCTGTACCTCTAATACTAATAATACTAATAATAATAATAATAATAATAATAATAATAATAATAATGGAGCACCATACATAAGCGCGGTGGGTGGGTACGCATTGCGTACGCGTAATTTATACGCATAATATATACATATAAAGCAAGATAAATTAGCATTTAACACTGTTGTATATCGGCACAAAATTAAACTTTTATTCTTAATACCTACGTGCGATTCGCGTCTATGCCGCATACGCATAGACTACTTACGTGTCTCTGCGTTTGATGCACACAGACCGACACGATAGCTCTGATATCTCCAATGACGCAATAGTAATTAGGACTTTTTAGTTACTCGCTTTAATTACGTCAATATGATTAACTAAACAATTAATCACATTGACGTATTCATATATTATGCTGCATGTTGATTACTTAATAAGACAAACAACGATATTTCAATCGTCCAATTATACAATTATTATTATTTATTTAATATAATTACAATTATTTAAATTAATTGTTAACAGGAAACGGCATTCGTAATGTAAAACATAAAATTATGTATGAACGAAAGGGAATATTTGATGTATCCTTGCTGCTTCGTTAAATAATCGACAGACACGAATATGTTTACAATGCTGAAAAAACCTAATTAATATTATGACTTTATTCAATCGGACTGTTGTGCTGGTCTGTGTACGCGGGAGGCGTGTACAGGGTTTCACGGAAAACGGTGAAAATGTGAAATAAATCCGATTGGGCAGTAGTCCTCCACATCAGTGAAAAAGTGTGATTGTCCGCTTTTCTCCTTGATCGTGACATAAAATTATCGTGCAAATAACACGAGAGCGCTCGAGTTACTGCTAGTGATGCGCGCCGTTTTCCGGAATTCCCTTCACTATATTAAACTTAAACCCGATGTATTATTACATACGCAGAACGAGTTTAGGAGGAAAGGAATATGAGAGCTGTTTAATAGTTTGCATCTTGTTTTTCAAGATTTAGTTTTGTCAGAGGCTAGCTGTAGTGATAAAAGAAAGCGAAAGGAAGAGAGCGATGAATGAAGGCATGAAAAAGCAGGGAAGTGATAAAAAGATAAATGAAAATAGAGAGATTACGACGAAAGGCAAAGAACAACAGAGAGAGAAAAACTGAAGAAATGAAAGAATTACTCAGAGGAAAGGGAAAAGAGAACCGAGCGATAATGACAATAATAGTGTAAAGTGATTTGTACCACAAATAATGTCACTATGCGTATCGGTAAAAATAGTTTCCCTTTTAATAGAGTTGACTCTAAGAGAATTACTTTTTTTAATAATTCGAGATGCATTATCGCTATGTAATATCAGCTATATGTTAATAGCAGTAGCTTAAATAAATAAATAATGGCAATATTATACGTCCATGAGTATCCATGAGTATCGATATATATATATATATATATATATTCCGCAATTATGCGTATCGTCGTTATATCAATAATTTGTAATATTACATTTGTGGTACGAATCACGACACATAGCCATTGTGTATGAGTGTCACATAACAAAATACTATAAAATTTAAATTATTTTATATTTTTGTTACGCCTCTCTGTGATATAATAAGGGCACATTCACCCCACCCTGTATATGTATGTGCGTTAATCTTCGTATCTCGTTGATTAAAGTAAAAACCTTTTGAAGGATAAACTTTGCCAAGCCTTCTCTATTGTATTTCGAAATGCACTCGAGCGTACCACCATTAACAGTGGTGTTAATGGAAAATTCGATTGTCATAAGATATTGCGCAATTGATCTTCATAATCGAGCAAAGTCGATTGGCTATCGTCGAAATTGAATAAAAATGCGCACACAGATATCGCGAGTAATTTTGTGTGTACGTTATATATGTATGGTAAATTGCAGGTAAATTATATACACGTTATTTCATCTCAAATAATGTGTAACGTATTTTCGTTTGGACACAAAAATAGTTGGATTTGTTGATGTTTTAAGTATAATGTCTGTAAAGTACAGCTTTTAAGTGAATCGGGTACGTTCAAGTTCGTGTTCGTCAGAGATATATACCGTTACACGTACGATACCTTGTACTGTATTATACTAATTGTACGAATAACTTTAACGCATTGACTTGTGGAAAATAACGTAATTTATCGACGAATGACGGACACGTTGATTGTGCAGCAGATACTTGCATGCTGTGCAACGTCTGTCTGATACAGGGTGTATCTAAAATAGTGGAGAATTTGGTGGCATTTCCTTTGATCGATTTGGAGACCATTTCCCCTGCATAAGTGTTACATCATTGAGTTGTTTGTAATTAAATGTAGTAATAATGTAGTTATTAATGATTAAAAGAACTTCAGATTAAGACCAAGTTTATTAAAACACATTGGCTAATCTGTTTTTCACAGTCTACTTCGTAAGAGTGCGTAGAGAGATAAAAATTTTATTTTTAATTCCATAATAGGAGCTATTTAATTCCAAATAGGAGCTTCTCATTTTAAGGAAATCGTTATTTGTGAGTTAATTTCGCCGAGATATTTAATGTTAAAAACAGAGGCAACACAAGATGACATCCTGCTGAACGTTTGCCGAGGATAGATAGGTTCCAAATTTGCCAAAGACCATGTCCACGCAAACCTTGGCTCACTATTTTGGAAAATAATTGTCCATCCTGTACATGTTTACATATACACCAGACGTCACACATGTTGGAACATTAGAACTAGAGTTGCAATTTTCAAACTGACATATATACCAAGCATCATACATGCCTTAACATTATAACTTTACTCGTAACGGTTACTCGTTTGATTTTCTGACCTTATATATATGTGCGTACCAAAGTCGAAAATCGTCGAAAATCGTCGAAAAACTCTGATAAGTGTTAAAGCATGTATGAAGCCTCGTGACATAGGGTTGAAAATGTATGTAACTCTTGTAAATAAGGAGGCATACTTCATTTCTGGTGTATATAGACGTGAAAGAGGGAGAGAGTGAGAGAGAGAAAGAGAGAGAGAGAGAGAGAGAGACATACTATTAATTATACACGATCCATTGTTAATCATGTGGTTGCGGTTCTATTTACACAGTTCGTTTAAAATGAATAAATTGAAAAAAATATATTTCAATTAATGGATGATGCCTTGCATTTTATTACCTCATTTTATACTTCCTGAAATTCGCTCAAGGAAAGGGGATAAATATCTTGAGTAATTAAAGAAAAAAACGCATTACTAGAGATACGAAGAATAAATTAATTATGCTTAAAAATACGTATTTGTATTTTACATAAGTTTAAACCTCTAATTATATTTGCATCCGATTAGCCATGTTGCGGACGTATAAAGATTTAAGAAGTGTACAAAAACCTGACTGTGTTTGGTGTTACATCATGGCCGAAGTTATCTCGATTGTGACCAAGAAGACAATCATTCAGTGTGTTTGCATGGCAGCTTCGAGTTAATCACTAAATATAGGAGTTTCCTCCAGGAATAGATTGGGATAAAATCTTAACGCCTCTATCGAGTCATCTCTACAAGCTTTGCCGTGTTTCTCTGTAACCAGCAATCTCTCACGTGCCAATATCACCGATATTCCTTCCGACCGCGCGAGATCCTCCGCTGTCATCGATCCCTTCTGTTTCAACTGCAATTTTACAGGAAATGATCGTATCACATTTCGTAATACGTACAATATCTGATACTCACTAATTCCATTATACAGTCGGCAACAGCGTTGTCGTCGTGAGAAAGAACTTGAAGTACCATAACGCCACTGTCGAAAGTTCTTAGTACAATCGGTAAGCCTAGAGACGCCAGATGTCTGCTGGCGTGCAACAAATCTTCAGGTGACAATAGCTCCAAGCCTCTCGCTCTATTTACACGGCAGTAAACGTCTGTAAGTGTCATCATGCCACCCACTTCCTAAAAGCAGATGCAATATTTTCAATCGTTCCTCAAAATTTGCAAAATATTCAAGCTACAACAAACCTTTATTGGTTCTTCTAAAATGTATGCGAGTTGTTTGGCTAATTCTTTAAAGTACTCGTTACTGCTCTTGTATGCGTCTCTCGTTACTGGGTCGTCGATACCTAGGCTCATTAAGTAAGCCTTAAATCTGATAGTTTCGTCCTCTGTTATGTCTCCTTGCCTTGCCTGCAATGATCTTGCATTATGAATGTCAACTTTACGAAGGTATCATTGAAAATCACCCTTATTTTAGCCGAGATTGTCTTTGAGATGGCCACCATATCTTTAGCCATATCCATTAGTTTTGTGAGGTCTTGAAATGCCAATGATATACTTTCGTCAGTTTCTTTTTGCTTCTCTTGCAGACTCCTCTCAATGCCTATGATACCCGTTCGTGTTTTTATTTGAGGTAACAATCCTGAATTCCTCTGATTGTCATGAATATTCATGTTAGACATTAATTCAGTTGCAGGAATAAATTCCCATAGCCGTCTCATAATGGTATCAGACAATTGTGTTATAAAATTTGAGTCCAGACCTTCCTTAAAGGACAGCTTGACATAATTGTGTAAATTCCTATCTGTTGGGCCTGGCATTTTATCTAACAATACACAAACATTCTTAGTCTGATGTGTAATTTTGTTATATCATCTGTTTAACTACAAGTCTCACCAATAGCAGGCTCGGAGAGATGTAATACGATCTTTTTACTGCGCCCAAAGGAGAAGGGCCCAGGAACTTCTTCCTCGAAAAAAATGATGTATCTAAGTGGCAATGACAAGCAAGTATTGCCTCGAGGTATGTCACCAGGTCTGCCCCAAAGTATCCTATGACTAGTTAGAATTAGCTCTCCGCCTTCAAAGTTTGTCTGTTAAAAGTTATCTTAATATTAATATCTTTATACCTACATGGCTAATGCAGAATCTTAACAATAAATCCAAGATTATATTAGAACTTGACAGACTCTTTCTCTCCCTCTCTCTCGTTTTCAAGTCATTATACAAAATCGACTGTTTCGGGGAGACAAGTCACTTCATATGTAACATTGCAATCTCCCGAGTTACCTTTGTATCACCATCATAGAGACGTACGGCCATATCACGTCTCACATAAGTCTCATTCGGCTGCAGCCGAGAATCAGCGTACTCGAACCTATTCATTGTCGGCACTTATCGTGAACTGTTAAAATGAAGAACCATATTGCCTCATGAGCCGTAAATTTGGATTTATTTAGGCCTGTTTTACAATATCATCGTATGTCGCTGTCGGATGTCGAAACGCAGCCGATGGTCCAATGAGAGAATTTATTTTTCGAAAGTTAATTCTCCTCATTGGACCATCGACTACGTTCTGGCATCCGACAGCGACGACATACGACGTATTGTAGAACAGGACTTAAGGCATTTTCCAATAAGAGGCCCAGATGATAAGATCTGCGTTCTCTTTGGCATATAAATGCCGGTACACAATAGGTATTTTAAGCCTTAAGAAATTGACCAATCACAGTCGAATGTGAAGAGAATAATTAATTGTGATTAGTCAATTTCTTAAGGCTTGAGGCTTAAAATACCTATTGTGGACCGACACTAATGAACGATAAAGATAGAATGACACTTATAACGCGTGAACGTTCGAAGAGACTGTAGCCACGATTTAGTGCGCACTTTTTGCACTCGTGCAGACAGTTGGATAAATAGAGTGAATGTATAAGATTTAATTAGGTTTAATCAAGATATAAATTTATTACATATTAATCAGCAAAAGAGCGTATACGAATAAGTTCGATGCATATGTAGCAATAAAAAATGTTTTGGAGTGTTCCTGTTATCTTGAATTAAGTAAAAAACGCAACCTCTATCACGTGTCACTGGAACATCTGATGGGTTGTCACAGCAATTTTAAATATGAGTAACATTGTTCCAAGTAAATCGACTGTTTATGTATCAAATTTACCTTTTTCCTTGACCAATAATGATATACATCAATTGTTGGAAAAGTACGGAAAAATTGTCAAGTGAGTATTATTGGTAGTGGTGAGATAATTTCTGTGATATTGTAAATAAATAAAATAAAAAATATATTGTTCACTTTCAGAGTAACGGTGTTGAAAGACAAAATAACGCGACTTAGTCGTGGCGTTGCTTTTGTATTATTTTCCAAGCAAGACGACGCCTTACTCTGTGCGAATTCAATCAATAATACGGAAGTAAGATTTCACTTTTGTCAATTATGTTTGGTAAATGTTTATCTCACACTTTAAAGAGATTTTAATAAACATATACTCAATCGATTCGTTTTTATACGTAGAAGAAGGTTCCTTTTTCAATTTTATATTTATAGAAAGAGAAAGAGAGATAGGGATTTAATTGATCCTTAGTTAACCCTAAATAATAACATCATAAGGGTTGTTTAAATAATTAATAATTTTTCTGACCAAATTAGATATATGGTCGCACTGTAAAAAGTTCGATAGCAGTTGACAATGGTCGCAGCACTGAATTCATACATCGCAAGGATTATCCAGATAAATCACAGTGCTATGAATGTGGACAGGAGGGACACTTGTCGTATTGCTGCAGTAACAATTCATTAGGTCCCAGAAAACCGCCACCAAAAAAGATGAGGATACGGAAGAAAAATGTAAAACAAGAGAAATACGACACAGGTTACTTCGATAGCGATAACGAAGAAGCGATATCAAAGAAGGCAAGATTTGATAACGATAACATTGAGGACGATTCTGAGGAAGAACCTGAAACACTGAGTGCAGTGATTGCACTGGAGGTACAATCACGCTATATTCAGGTTTTTAATTAGAAATCAACTCGTTCAATTAGAAATTAATTCAGATCGTGATATTTTAGCAAAAAAAATTTGAGATGGAAAATAAACGCGGAGAAGTGATAGATGGACATGACAGAAAAGAAAGTTCAACTGCATCAAAGAAACGTTTTAAGAAAAATAAATACTTTAGCGATGAAGAAGACTTTAGCGAATAATATATATTATATACAGTGTTATTTGATCTCTATATACGTGTATATGAGTATAGTAAGTAGTAATTAAAAAGTGTATATTTGCAGATACATTTCGAGTAATATATTTTTGTAGTTACAAAGCGCGCGCGCTAATCTCAGGGCGCATCTACTTAATTTTTTCCATCTTTGTTATCCAACATTCATGACTTAACTGATCCAATCTTGTTTAACAATTTTAGTCAACTAATTTCTTTTTTCTATAGATTCTAAAATTTTTTAATCTTGTGCTCTTTTTTTTCTTATACACCGAACTTGTATGCTTGTTCAAAACGAGATTTGAAGGCAATATATTCAAAGTACATCATATACAATTATTAAAGTACTTTTGTAAGCACGTTTCTTTTTTTTTGGTTATCATTTATTCTCAGTGACACGCTTTAAAATTCGTTGACATTTTTCAATTCTGAATGTGTAATAATGTAAGGAACAACGTAGCATAATTCAGTAGATAATTAATCAAGACTGTTGGTACTACAACTATCTCTGAGGTACAAAATTTTCAACTACAGTAAAAAATAGTCCAAATTCACGTTCTTATTCAATTTAATATTTTTCGATCAGCATGGCAGGAGTATTAATGAGATACTTTTAACATATTTTATAGAGAGAAATGATCTTTCTCGTATTTGTTTAGATCTTAACACTTTCAACAAAGTCGCAACATATCGAATAGTAATATTTAATTACAATAGCGTTATATGCAACCATTATATGTTTATAGAATGTCCCAATTTTCACGCTTTCCATTTAGAAATTTCTTAATAAATTCGGAACTGATCTTCCCTCAGCAAGATTGAGTTTGATACTATGTTTTAACTCACAACCTTTCAAATATCAAATAGTAACTAAAACTTGAATCAAAATTCCACAATAAAGTAAAATCTACTTGAAGTCGAAGCAAATAATAACATTTATTTATGCCCTTAAGAACTACTACGTAATATTCTTAATTTTTAATCGTTTATAGTACAGTAATTTTTAATGCCTTTGTTAAGAAAAAACCGATTGCATCTTGCCCAAGGAATTTATATTGATAGAAACTGCAGTAATCCTAAGACCATCTGTGTATGTGTGTGTGTATATATATATGGATGCGCAAAGAATTACCACGCTCTCCTTATACTTCGTCATAATTTAAACATTAAAAAAACATATCAAACAAAAATCTTAGGGCGCTACGCATCATATAGCGATCTCTCATCTCTTCCAACTGAATTAATAAAAATTTAACGTAATGACGCAATCACAATGTATATTATATTCACATGCTAATTCTATATCAAGAGGATATGGTTGTATCACATTTAATTTATGATACTATTTTCAGTCCAACGAGTTTGCGTTTTCTTTTTTTTAAATACTTAAAGCGCTGTTAATGCAGTCTATGACGCATACAATTAGACTATACAATATTATGTAACAAAATTAAAATCTTTTACTCTCTATATCAGTCACATCCAGAATTTTAAATTAGTACTAGAATCAAGCTTGCGACACACTATTGTAAGCACGCTTGAACTTTTTCGATCCACTCCTGTGCGGTGCCTGCGTCCGCAGCGCAGAAATTGTACGTCCGTCTATTCGTACGGAGCTGCAAAGAGGATGAATGTATTGTGCGCGGCACAAATTACACTGTGACGATATCGTGCCAAAAATGAGAATCAATTCACAAAATTCAAGGGGGAAATAAACAGAGCCGAGGTCGACAATCTGAAACTCTTGTGCATACGAATGATTGAAAATTCATTGGAGGTTTTACACTTACATCAAAGAATGATTTGTCGTCCGTTTTCTTTGGTGGTCCAGGCATCGGCGCAGCTGGAGTAACGGATACCACCTCGGCCAGATCTGCAACGCGCAATTTCGATCAATGTGCATTTCGACCTTATTCTCCAAACTGTTCTTCCAAATGTTCTCTTATATTAACCGTACGCGTTTTCTTCCCCGTCACATACCTATATATCCTTTGCAGTGCGAATCCTCCACCGCATCGTAATATCTCAATTGATGCTTTATGGAATCCAGTACAAACCATCTCTGCTTCCAGCCCTTCAACAGGGCGCCCCGTTTATAAAGATAGCCCTCGTGCGTCCTGTTTTCCGCCACGTTGCTCGAGAATTGCTCGTAATATTGCTGAGAAGAAGTCTGTATAGTCGTTACACCTGCAATTCGCGATATTTTTGTGCAAGCTGGAGAAAGAAAAGGACTTTTTCACGGCGATTACGCAGCCACCATGTGATTCATGGAAATTCCTTGAATCGCCTAATTATATCACGAGCTGGAACAAGGGCATACTTGAGTTCACGCTTCCGTTGTCCCCGCCGCTTCTCGTGAGTGTGTGAGTTTGGAGATTATCCGTCACAGCCTTGTACTTCGTGCAATTCTTCGGCACGGCGTCCGCGCACTTGTCGTGGCACACGTGGCCGCAGTCGATGCACCTCAATCCGGCCTTCACGGGGCCCCACAGCACGCCGGAACACGCGTCGCAATGGGTCGGGGTCGCGGAATCCAATCTCTCGAATCTTCGGCAAACGTTTCACACCGGTCAGACGCATACAACTACTCTACTAATCTGCGGCGGATCGAAGGAGAGTGATACGCAGCATTACCTGTGCGGATGCGCGTAAACGGAACCTTCGTTTCCGGTGGTACTCCCGCCCGCGAGTTTGCCGCGTAACAACAGCTCCAGGGTGGAACGCTTGTGAGTCAGCCGACCGTGATACCGCACCAGCGCCGTGCTGAACGACGCGTGCCGCTACGGGGAGCAGAATCAATTACGAGTGCATACGATTACACGGTGATTAGAAGAATTGTAAGGAACGGTAATTATATATAAATAATTATATATAAGTATATTATATAATAGTGTTTCTCGGGTATTATCCAGTATTTTAGGAATTGATTCTTGAGGTCATTTTATGGAGAGAAAAAAGAAACTTCGCGTGAATATATATGATCACAGGTCTCGTTTCACTCATTGTCTATCTTCTTTGTTTGCTTTGTAAACAACCCAGTTCGGCTTGATAGACAAACTGCAGAAAGTCGATTTCACCAGACAATTTAAAGAAAACACAGGTATGCTCCCGACGATCGTTGTTTGTTGTCTTGGTTTGTAAATAACACGGCTTGGGGGACATCGATTACGCAACATATAATTTAAAGAAAACACAGTCAGGTGTTCTCATGGCGATTACTGTCTGTTTTACCCGGACAAACCCGATAATAACAGATTAAAAATCAATTCTTCACCTTATGAATATTGTATCGTCGGAGTCATTGTTATTTTCTATTCTCGTTAAATTGTTTATCTATAAAGAAGCTAATCACCAAACATGATTTTTTGTGATTGAGCTCTTTCAAGGGTTTAGTTTAAGCCGAGCGGGAGAAAGGTGAGAAAAGTGAGTTTTTTCTCAAAAGTCGGGAGAAACGTTTCGAAATGAGTGAGGAAAAGGGAGGGAGAAACGAGTGATCCCACAGTTTTCCCATGCCTGGGGCAAGAGTATTCATTCCCGAGCGCCACATCGCGACTTACAGCGAGCGAATCGGTGTTCGGCAGCTCGAGCTTGTCCCACAGCACTTTCCACTTCTGCGGCAAGTGTCCCAGCTCGGTCTCCAGTTTGTGAATCTCCTCCAAGAGATGAGAGAACTGATCGGGCACCATCGTGCTGACTCCGTCGTATCTAAAACGAAACGATGACATCCGTGAACCCGTTGATTGCCCCCAGCCCGTCGGGCGCGACGCTCACCCCTGAGTAACTATTTTACGGTTGCTCTTGACGACGCCGTCCGCGGCCTCGGCCTCTTCCTCCTGCTGGGAATCCTGCTGCAACACCTCCAGATCGTAGGCCGGGCCGTGCGCCAGCTCCTCCTCCAGGTAGAACTGCCAGATATCGAGGCTGGGCAGATGCCGGACCGGTCTCAGGACGGGATACTCCATGTTGGGCGTGTACATGAAGTTGTAGAACAACGGACACCGCGCGTGCTGCTTCTCGATGTAATCGAAGATGCTCTGGCCGAGGTTGCAGCCGGTGTTGGTCCCGGCCAGTCTGCCGCCGGGATAGATGGTGTCGTCGTCGCTACCGGTGTCGACGCCCTTGTGATGGCTCGTCAGGGAGCCCCTCTTGTCCTCGATCGCGGTGATGCCGCACTCGACGCGGTCGAACTCGCAGTCCAGGAGGAACGTGCGGAAGCGGCAGGATACCGAGTGGTAGGCCAGGAACTTGAGGTAGTACTCGTTGAACTCGAACGCCAGCGGGAACTGCTTCTGTATCTGATGCACTATATCCAGGAACTGGAGGAACGTAGGCGTGAAGTTAGTGGTCTGCGAATTCGCGGCGAGGTTGCTGCGATGGCCGAACCGGTGGCCGAATCCGAGCCACTCCTTCTCGATGAGGGTCCTGAAGCCGTCTATCGTCCTGTAATGAGGATCGAGGCACACCTGCGCGACCGAGCACACCGTCGTCGTGGTGTCCCAGCCGTCCTCGAGGCAAACCGCCACCGAGGAGCCCTGCATGTCCATCAGGTCTATCACCGCGCCCGCCAGTTGCATGAGATTCTGCAGCTGCTGCAGCCACTCCGAGCTCTCGATCAGCCGGTAGAAGCTCTGGTCGGGCTCGACGTTCGGCGAGCTCGGCACGCACGCCCGCATCAGCTTCTTGAACGCGGCCTTGGTGTGCCTGACGTCGTAATACTCGACCGGTATGAAGTCCGTCTTGGGGGTGGACTCGGCCTTGACGCCCTTCATGTGCGCCTTCTCGCCCAGGACGTAGAGAGCGGCGCGCTGGAAGGTGTGCACGCACTCCGTGCCGCTGTCCGAGTCCGCGGAGTGTCTGACGGTGCCGCGCTGGTGGACCGAGGTGAGGGAGGCCTGGGACGAGTTGTGCCTCTTGTCCTTGAGGGAGCCCCACCGGCCGAAATTCTTCGGGCCCTTGCCGCCGGACGAGCCGAGGGTGCCGAGCGGCTTGTTGAACGGATTGCGCCGCGACTGCTCCGGCGTGGCGTTGCGATCCTCGGCGGCCAGCAGCAGCGAGTCGATGCTGAGGGAACTGTCGGACATGCCCCAGGCGGAGCCCTGCCGCAGGACGGAGAGCGGCGTCGCCGCGACCAGGGCCATCATGTACTTCTCCTGTTCCAAGGAGGAGGTCGTCTCCGACGACGCGGTCTTCAGATTACCGCTCGAGGTCGGGTGGGCCTTCAGCATGCCCATCACGCCTTTGCCGTGGTAGCCGGCGCCTCGGATCAGCAGCGCCTTCGTGCGCGGGTGCCTCCAGGTGACGACGGGCACTCGGCTGTGACGGTAGAGCCGGCAGAACCGGCGTATGCTCTCGTCCGACACGGAAGTCGGGACGATCAGGAGGGCCGGGTAGCTACGGCACACCATGTAGGCGCAGTTCACCGAGGAGAGGCGGAACGGCTCGTTGCGCCGGTTGTTGTGCGGGCCGTTCGCGTAGAGG